ATGGATTTGCCCAATCTGGGCCCAATCTGGGCCACATTGTGGTCTATGTGGGACGGTTCACATAGTTCTACCAACAAACTTCTAAAACATTGTGTATGTCTAACTTAAAGTGGTTGTAAACCCTTACCTATACCCAGTGAAGTGACTGAGATGAAACAAATCATCCTATATAAGTTGTACCTGTTTATTTGCAGCCATTTGTTCTGTACATCCTTGTAAAGGGGTTTTCACAGACTCACAAAGCAGGGGGTGGGAAGCTGCAGTTACACACTGTGCAAGAGCTCTGAGAGCTGATTGGAGGGAAGGGACACACCCCCCTTTAGAGGGACAGAGCTGAGGCTGTCAATCACAATCTGTCCCTCCCCTGTCACCTTTTTTAGTTTTTGGTGTCAGAAAAACCTTTCAGAAGTGATTCATGCTGATAGCTGAAGAACTAGATAGCAGAGAGAGGCAAGTAAACTAAATACATTCTTTGTTCAGATTTCATGTCTAGGGTTTACAACCAAATTCTAGTGGCCAATCACTGGTAGTTGGTAAGGGATGGCTATTCTAGTGCAGTTTTCAGTTTTGATGTCCTGTTTCTGCATACCTGATATTGTCATTTATGCAGTTTCCAGTCTCCCTGGCTTTTTTATTTATTTCTATGTTATGGAAACTGCAGTTATGGGAGCTGAAACAAAAACAGGTGGGTAAAAAAACACACAAAACTTATATGTGGAACCAGAAAATTAGGGCAAGATCTTCCTTGTGTAGTACCACAAGACGCTTGCCCACCAGGCTCTGCCAATATCTAGGTATCACTATAGGAGCACAGTCCCTTTAAAATGTCCTGACAGGTAATAGGGATTGACATGTTTTGTCCTGGCAGTTTTTGGCTCATGCCTCTCTCCTCTGTCTCTAATATTGCCAGTGCCTCCCTGCCTCTGGTTAGTCTCAACCCCACTACCTTTCCTTCTGCAGGCAGAGCTGGATCAATAAATCTTTGCCGGTAAATAATTGCTATTGAGCTGTGTTCCCATGCAGAAGTGTGAGCGCTCTGTTGTGACAGCCTGGAGGGGAACATCTCCCTTCTATATCAATTGCCTGACTTCACACAGGGAAGCACACAGAAGGGGCATTGTCTGCACTCCTTGCTATGCATATCTGACTTGTAAAGTTTTATCTGCCATTGGCGGAGCATTTTCCATGCATGTGAGGGTATCATTTTCAGGGACCTATGCATTAATGTTACTTAATGTGGCAGTCAAGCTTTTTTTAAAAAATAGTAATAAGGCACTACAGCTGTGATTGTGCATAACACAGCATCCCCTTTACCCCTGTCTCTCATATATATTTTTAAAACCCTATAGATATAATTAACCTGCAGTATTCTGATGACCTCTCGGGAGTTACCTCTTCTTCTTTGGGAAGTCTGAACGATGCTCACATCATGACACATGAGCACCACTTAAGCCAGCCATATATGGATTGAAATTCAGCCGGTTAAGCTGGGACTGGCCAAATTTCTGTCCATGTATGGGCAGGCTGGTTGTACACAAGTTCATCAGTTGAAAAAGTCTGTCGGGTTTTTCCTGAATGATCATTGCCACCGCCTATAGCCAACAACACTGTTGTATTCTGATTTTGGGGAAGGTTCCCCGCTGACCGAATACAATACTCTAGTGAGAAGGATTCCCCTATCTACGTTGAATGTTTGGATTGGGGAATCAGATCTTTTTATTTTTTTTTTTTTGTTGTTGTTCAACCAGCTGGTTGAACAGAATAAATGATCAATGTGTGGGCTGTGTTAGTCCTGAAATACTGAAAGCCCAGCCTGCATGATGATGTGCCCCCAAGAGACGTGTATGGCATTCTGCTTGAAGGGGACTGAGGAGGAAGCTAGGGACAGCACTGGAGTATGGGGGGCGTAAGTAAATCTTAGGCACTTTCTTTTTTCAATACGAAATATACAGGTTGATACATGAAGTAAAAAAAAATTATATCCTGGGGTTCCACTTTTAAGGTATTAAATTATTATTTTTAACAGTTCAGTATATTGTTTAAAGTAATATGCCTTATTACTGCCATCAAAACAGCCTTTCATTTTTCTTTTTTTTTTCCATTTTATGCTTTGGTAATCAACACTTCAGTTAGTTTTGCCTTCTAAATTTTTAACATTTTGTTATTTATATTGAAATATGATGAAATGGAAGTTGAGATAAAATTTTTTGTTCCTTGGGTTTCCTTATTAAGTGAATATGCGCTATTATTTAAAGCTTCCAAGTCTTTGTGATAATCTATCCATAAGACAGCACTGGTTCCTTTTTATGGAAATGGTTTTCATACAGTATAAGTCTGATTTATGAAAACTAAGCACAAAAAGTGACAACAAAAGTGGTATTAAATACAAATACAAACATTTAATATATTCCAGTTTACCAATCCTTACCAGTGGCTGCATTAGTTTTCTTTTTTTTAGGCTTTCTTTCCTATATTTTCACCTGTTGATCCAGCCAGTAAGTCTGTTATTTTTCAACGTCCTTTGTTTAGACCAAACTATTCAACAAAAGTGGCAGTGGTCAGAGTGTAGAGACAAACCATTTAACACTGACAGAAGGGCTTACAACTGGGATGCTTTTATTCATGTAGGTAAAACCTTTATCCCAATAAGAAAAAAAAGATACTATTGCTATAACTACTTAAAAATGGTTAGCTTGAGTTCGGCTTTAATTTGTTAGTCACTTACGTAAAGTCCATCTAAATCTGCTAGTGCATTAAGCACTACTCTCTCCCTGTATTCACAATGCTGTTGTCTAAAGGTGTCTCTCTTGTTCCTCCAGTGGAGTGGAGACACCCTAAACCAGGAAGTGTGTTACTGGCTGGATCACTAGGTGAAAATAAAGGGCAAAAATCCTATAAAGAAAACAAATGCAGCCACCACATGTAAGATTTGTAAGATGCAATATATAAAATGTTTGGTTTTTTTTTTAGCTTAATACTGCTTTGAGTTCTCCATTTTACTTGCAATTAGCAACATGACATTCAGGCTGCATTCACACTGCACAATTTTGGATTGCAGGCAGAATCGCTACAATTCTAAATTGCACTGCAATCATGGCAAAATGCAACACCTCAAACGTGGTGCTGTTTTGCCGCAATTGAATCGTGGCAAATCGCATTGCGTGAAGCTTGACACCCAAAAAGGAGCAGGAGCTTCTTTGGGCAACAAGCTTTGAATGATGTTGTGTGCTGCGCGATTGTCACATGGCAGTCACAGAAATACCGCACCACATTTTGAGGTTCCATTAAAAATGAATGGCACTTAAACACAAATGTTGCGTTTTGCCACGATTGCAGTGCATTTTGGAACCGTGGGTAGAATCGAAGCGATTCAGCTCATAATTTAAAAACACAAAGTGTGAATGCAGCCTCATTCTTTTTTCCAATGTTTACACATCAACCCCTTGCAACACAAACAAAGTTAACATTACAGTTTATCATTTGTTTTTCTGCCATTACAGTAAAAACAATATAATGATTTTCATCTGATTTATTTTGCTAATGTTTTTTAATTTAAACAGATTGGGAAAGAATTTCTAAAGTAGATTTTTTTAAAAGTAGAACTATAGCCAAAACTTTTTCATTTTGGATAGAGCAAGGTGGGGTTATAACCCCTGTCAGATTTTTTTCTTACCACCTGTGTCCTGTTTCAAGCATTTAACTTCCCGTCCCATAGTCAAACAGGAGGTGAGAAGAAATCTCTACAAATTAAGGGAATCCCTTGGGGACCCCCCAGGTCACCAGAATTAGTGTCCCCATCGGAAGATTTCCCTTCTATTACTTTTCTGGGAACAACCCAAAATTTCTTTACTTTCAATGATAATGGTAAAATGGACAAAGAGAGAGGGTGAATCTCCTTAACGGGAGCACAGGCTGCAATAGAAACTGCCAGGGGTTCTAATCCCTCTTCACTCCATCCAAAGCTTAAAAGAAAAATGTGCCTTGAGATACAGTTCACACGTGTGGTGTGAAACAGTTTGCAAAACGCAGTGCGATTGGCTGAATCAGATTGCATGGTTTTTTACACCCATCTGATTCCAGTGCGGGGAAAAAAAAGGTGCAATTAGAGCCATATAAAATCACTGGCTCTAAATGCACTGCAAAGAATCGCATGTGATATGAACAGGAATGTGGTGTGATTCCTGTCTGAATCACATGCGGTTTCCCTCACCACAATAGTGTGAAACAGCACTTAGTTGTACTTTAAACACTTGTTTCTTCATTCATTGTTGTGTCTCTGTATTGCTAATCTGGAGCCTATTTGCATCCACTTCATGTCTACGTGCATGCAGTCCAGTGATGGCTGCCTGGCATTTCTCAAGGCCATATCCTACGGAGCAGTAGTGGACCATCTCTGTGTGCTGAAATGGCAACTTCTTCTCCTTCAGAAGCCTTTGACAAGGTGATAATGCAGGAGTACAGCTGGGGAAGTTAATGCTTTTTTTACCCTATAACAGGTAGTGCCTGAGCAAAGACCTTCATGGCATTATCACCAGGTCTTATTTCAATGAAAGCTATACATATAAAATGTTGAAAATTAGGTTTGACATTTCATTTACATGTTAGAAATGTTTGCAATTTTAGTGATTGTTTACTTTGCCGTAAAGTTAAATAACAAGATGTAAAAAGATTTGCTACAGGATTTAAATTGGGTTTATATATTCTTTCCTGTGCTGCTCAAAAATTCCATTACATCACCTAAAACATGCCTCATGCCACTTATTGGGGGTATATGTGTAGGTTTACATGGAAAAATGTGGGACTGCAGGTTCATGGGTGGAAAAAAACAAAAACATGCAGAACAGCCTGATATAAACCAGATGTATAGCCTGCGATGTACTAGAGATTGATCATCTCCAATTTATTTATGCTTTTACAATATAGAGAAACGCTTTGAAATATAGAAAAATGTGCATTTGTGTTTATTTGTTCCTAAATTTTCTTTATATATTTTATAGGGCATGTTACTAAAAAGAAGTGGGAAGTCCCTAAATAAAGAATGGAAGAAGAAATATGTCACCTTATGCGATAATGGAGTCCTCACTTATCACCCAAGCTTACACGTAAGTGCGCCCTGTCATGTTGTCCACCTGAAAACAAACGAAATACTCTACTGTTTGGGGTTGTTGAGATACTGCCACAGTGCGAATAAAGGTTATGGTCTATATCTATAGCGTAATATTTTTTTTTACCTTGTTGCTGCTGTACACTCAGTAAGTCTCAGTTTTTAAATCAATTTCTGATAAAAATGTAAATCCCCTATATTATTGGGGCCTCTTTATTAACCTAATAGTCCCCTCCTCCAATGACACACTAGGAAACAAAAAGGGGACCACCAGCTAGCTCTTACAATTTGCATTGCTTAGCAAACCAGGTTCCTGCTAAATCTGCCAAAATTTGAGCTATAGGTGGCCCTGCCAGCACCACCTAGCTCGACAATTCTGAAAATCAAAAGTCAGGTGGGAAGTTTCCAGCCCTAGTGATTGCATCTGATCCCATGCAGTCACTGGGTATTCTCACTGCTTCTGGCAGGGTAGAAAACCCTATAACCACCAGGGAACATTCCTCCATCCACGCATTTTAGCATGCCTGGGGGGAATGTATTCATTTTCTTTGCTTAGCCCTACAAATTGCATTTGAATTTTCTTATACCAACAATCAGACCTAACATGAAGAATAAGCACCTACAAACCCAGATACTTGCAAAACTGCTATGACATACAGTAGATAGCTGTAGTGTAACAGCACTGTTTTACAAATTGCAGCACATTGCAAAAGACTGTAATGTTGGAGAGGCAGCAGCTCATTGCAGAATATTTCTATGCTTTAAAGCAGCCTTTCTTAATTTTCTTTTTAATAGATCCTTTACATTGGTGGTTAGTGGATAAGACACCACATCCATTGGAGGTCAGTGGAGAAGGGCCCCTTTTTATTATTGGTCAGTAAAGAATGCCCCCTACATTAATGATGAGTGGAGAAGGGTCCCCTTATGTTGGTTGTCAGTACAGATAAGCCCCCCTTGCATTGGTGGTCAGTGACAATTGTCACTTTTAGTTTGATGGTCAGTGGAGAAGGGCTCCTTACAATGGTGGTCAATAGAGAAGGGCCCTTTACAAATGGTGGGCAATAAAGAACTTCCTAAACATTGCTGGATCAGTGGTTAAAGGGTCCCTTACACCTTATGGTGAGTGAAGAAGGCATCCCTTACACTGATGGTCAGTAGAGAAGTAATCCTTTAACCTTGGTGGTCAGTGGAGAAGGGATTCCTTATATTGGTAGCCAGTGGAGAAGGGATCTATTACATTTCTGGTCAATGGAAAAGGGATCCCTTACATTGGTGGTCAGTGGCAAACTGATTCCTTACATCGGCAGTCATTGGGAGAAGAGCTTGCCTTATGTTGGTGGTCAGTGGGAGCAGGTCACTTTTTTACCATCGTAGTAGTAAGAATGCCCCATTACTTTGAGGGTCAGTGAAAAAACTGTGTTTTATATTGGTGGTCATTGGTTAGAATGCCACCCAACAGACAGCTAAAAAGATAACTGGTGTCAGTGGTACTTGTCTCTGAAGAGAGTAGAAACTGTGTTGATCTAACTTTGCTAGCTTTGCTGAGTCACATTGGCCTTGAAACTATGAGGGTCTATCAGGTGGGATGTCAGTCCAGTACTGGGAAACCTTGGATGAGAGAGGCTGCTTTCGAAAATGTACAACACATTACCAAGGACTGCTATGTTAAAGGTTCTTGTATGTTACATGGAAAGAAGTGTGCACTCAGGAAAGCTTGTGTTCTGGCTGATGCAAATTGTTGTCTATTCCCACATTACTTCTGGGAACACCTGTAGTGCTCGTCACTGAAACACAAGCTTTTCTGAACCCGCTGCATTACTGTAAGTATAGTACAACCCTAATCATTAACCAGCCCAGAGGAGTGTCACACCACAATCTGATCCACAGCCCAAATCATTCATTTTGTCCCTCCAAACACCTTCTCTGAATGTCACCTTGCTGTGAATTCATTACCCTAGGAAGGCTGCAGTTGTAAGTGTAAGTTTACTGCCTGTTTCCTTGTAAATGTTCATTTGTTAAAGTACCATGAAAGTATAGAGCTTTTCAAGCCGCATCAGGTTTGAAACAAGTTATGTAGTGTGTGAATATATACTGTATGTGTGTGTGTTTTTATTTATCTATATACACACACATACACACATACACACACATACACACACACACACACACACACACACACAGTGCCTTGAAAAAGTATTCATACCCCTTGAAATTTTCCACATTTTGTCATGTTACAACCAAAAACATATGTATTTTATTGGGATTTTATGTGATAGACCAACACAAAGTGGCACATAATTGTGAAGTGGAAGGAAAATGATAAATGGTTTTCACATTTTTTTACAAATAAATATCTGAAAAGCCCCCCCCCCCACACGCCAGAACACACACCACCCCGCCCCCACCCACAACGCAACAAGCAACAACAACACAAAAACTGTGGTGTGCATTTGTATTCAGCCTCCTTTACTCTGATACCCCTAACTAGAATCTAGTGGAACCAATTGCCTTCAGAAGTCAACTAATTAGTAAATAGAGTCCACCTGTGTGTAATTCAATCTCAGTATAAATACAGCTGTTCTGTGACGCCCTCGGAGCTATGTTACAGAACATTAGTAAAAACAAAAAGCATCATGAAGACCAAGGAACACACCAAGCAGGTCAGGGATACAGTTGTGGGGAAGTTTAAAGCAGGGTTAGGTTTATAAAAAAAAATATCCCAAGTTTTGGAGAACTGTTCTATCCATCACCCGAAAATGGAAAGCGTATGGCACAACTGCAAACCTATCAAGACATGGCCGTCCACCTAAACTGACAGGCTGGGCAAAGACAGCATTAATCAGGGAAGCAGCCAAGAGGCCCATGGTAACTCTGGAGGAGCTGCAGAGATCCACAGCTCAGGTGGGAGAATCTGTCCACAGGACAACTATTAGTCGTGCACTCCACAAATTTGGCCTTTTATGGAAGAGTGGCAAGAAGAACGTCATTGTTGAAAGAAAGCCATAAGAAGTTCCGTTTTCAGTTTGCGAGGAGCCATGTGGGGGACACAGCAAACATGTGGAAGAAGGTGCTCTGGTCAGATGAGACCAAAATTGAACTTTTTGGCCTAAAAGCAAAACGCTGTGTGTGGCAGAAAACTTAACACTGCACATCACCCTGAACACACCATCCCCACCCTGAAACGTGGTGGCAGCATCATGTTGTGGAGATGCTTTTCTTCAGCAGGGACAGGGAAGCTGGTCAGAGTTGATGAGAAGATGGATGGGGCCAAATACAGGGCAATCTTAGAAGAAAACCTGTTAGAGTCTGCAAAAGACTTGAGACTGGGGCGGAGGTTCACCTTCCAGCAGGACAACGATCCTAACCATACAGCCAGAGCTACAATGGAATGGTTTAGATAAAAAGCATATTCATATGTTAGAATGGCCCAGTCAAAGTCCAGACCTGAATCCAATTGAGAATCTGTGGCAAGACTTGAAAATTGCTGTTCAGACGCTCTCCATCCAATCTGACAGAGCTTGAGCTATTTTGCAAAGAAGAATGAGCAAAAATGTCACTCTCTAGATGTGTAAAGCTGGCAGAGACATACCCAAAAAAGACTTGCAGCTATAATTGCAGCAAAAGGTGGTTCCACAAAGTATTGACTCCGGGGGCTGAATACAAATGCACGCCACACTTTTCACATATTTATTTGTAAAACATTGTGAAAACCATTTATCATTTTCCTTCCACTTCAGAATTATGTGCCACTTTGTGTTGGTCTATCACATAAAATCCCAATAAAATAAATTTATGGTTTTGGTTGTCGCATGACAAAATGTGGAAAGTTTCAAGGGGTATGAATACTTTTTCAAGGCACTGTATATATTTATTATCACTGACTTAAGTACTTTGTGAGTACATGTATGCAACCAGTGGAATCAGAACTATGATGGTCGAGCAACTAGCAATTTTCAGAAGGAAAGTTTAGAAATCATTTTCAGAAGAAATTCCCACCGCTGAAGTGTTCCAGTTTTTTAGGGTGGAAACTGAGGTGTAACTTTACACCCAACTTCCCTAAATCAGCCTCCATCCAAAACAAAATGAATACCTTGTGGTCATCTTTAAGAACTTGAATGACTTGTTATCAAATGTAGCAACTGTAGATCTATCCCTATATCCCTGTAGACATGATGAGAATTTCAAACGAATGATGGTCCGTTTTTGTTTTTTTGCTTGCTAATCTCATATCGAAAATGAAAAGGTTAAGAAAATTCTTGTATGAATGAATAAAATTTCAGAAGTGATGTATTGTATTTTCGGACGAAAACTATACTGATTAAATGAAAATTGTACAGTCTGGTATTGTACAAGAAAAATTTTCATGCTGGTCCCTTCGAATAATTTCGGACATAAGCTATGTACAGACGATCAGATTATGGTAAGGTCGCTTTGAAACTGGTATTTTTCGTATGATTTTCTGATCGTGTGTACTAGGCTTGTGTGTTTTCTGTAAATCTGTTTGTTTAAATGCAGTAGACCAAATAATTATAAAGCCTTATTATTCAGCGCTAATTGCATAATTTCTTTGTAGTTATTAGCTTATTGAACACCTGTACTGTGATCATCGGGCCACAAAATATCCTACATCTCTTTTGAGAAGAGCACATGGAACAAATCAGACTCTGTATAGTATATTCTAATGAAACCTTATATAAATGTACATTTTAACCACTCCTGTCCGGACACTTTTACCCCCTTCCTGTCTAGGGCAATTTTCAGCTTTCAGCGCTATCACACTTTGAATGACAATTGCGCGGTCATGCAACACTGTACCCATATGAATTTTTTACCATTTTTTGAGACAGATAAAGCTTTATTTTGGTGGTATTTATTCACCGCTGGGATTTTTAATTTTTTTTGCTATATAAATGAAAAAGTCCAAAAATTTAGAAAAAAGTGTTTTTCTTATAAAATTTTGCAAATAAATAATCTTTCTTCATAAATCTTGGCCAAGAT